CCAGAACGCTCACCCCAACCCTAGCCCTAGCCCCAACCCTAAACCCTATCCCTGACTCTAACCCTAACCTTGACCCTAACAGATTGAGAATCCATTGCCATCAAGTGGATTCCCACTCAGAGCAACCCTGTGGGGCAGAGTCGAACTGCTCCCGTGGATTTCTGAGACTGTCAGTCTTTCTCTGGAGGAGTGGCTGGTGGAGTTGAACTGCTGACCTTGAGCCCAATGCATAGTCCACAACATCACCAAGACTCCTTTCTAACTGTTCGGGGTCAATAAATGAAGAGATTATTTCTGGCTTCAAAGAATCAGGGAGATGCATCACACACACACACACACACACACACACACACAGAACACTGTGAGTTTAATCCAATGTTTCCCAAAGTGGACAAAACTGCCCACCCCCTGTGGGAGCACTAGAACAATAGAGGGGACTGCAGAAGCAGATACCCACACTTGATCCTGGATGATGGGCTATAGTACAAAAGTTTTTAATTGCCAGGGAGTTGCTGAGTGATTTCTTTCTTTTTCTGTAAAGGAGGCAATAGGCCAAATAAGCGGGGAACCTCTGGAGTAATCTCCACCCTGCTTTACCTCCCTCCACGCATGCTGCAGGTCCTTGATGTGTGGCGAGCCTTCTCTGAGCCTCCGTTCTCCTCATCTGTAACACTGGAATAATGAGATCTTTCAGCCCTGGTTTGCCTCCTTACAGAAAAAGAAAGAAATCACTCAGCAACTCCCTGGAGAGGCAGTGAAACAGGGGAGGGCCTTCAACAACGTGGATCGACCCATGCTGTTCACAACGGGCTCAGGCTTAGGAACCGTGGCGCGGATGGCGTGGGACCGGGCAGTGTTGCCTTCTGCTGCGTGTAGGGTCGCTATGGGTTCGATGTCGTCTTCACAACAACCTAGAGAATGTGTGCTGTGTTCCCGGCAGCACGCAGTAAGTCGGCCGGCAATAAACCTACCCACTGCCGTCGAGCCGAATCCACCTCAGGGCAACGCTGAAGACAGGGCAGAATGACGCCACAGGGTGTCTGAGAGTGTAACTCGTCACAGGAGCAGACAGCGTCATCTGTCTCCTCCGAGACAGCCGGTGGGTTTGAGCCGCCGATTCAAGTGGGGGATTCCACCCTCCGTCCACGGTGCCAACAGGCTGACTCGCAGCGAGCCCTGTGCCCAGGGTAGAGCTGACCTATGGTTTTCCGAGACTGTGCATCTTTATGGGCCTAGAAAGCCTCCTCTTTTCCTCAAGGTGCATCTGGTGGTTTCAAACTGCTGGCCTTTCAGTTAGCAGCCCAACCTGTCAACTACTACAGTATGTCACCAGGGCTCCTAGTTAATCTGGGAAACAAAGAAAAGAAACAAATTCACTACCATCAAGTCCATGCTAACTCATAGCAACCCCATCGGGGTTATAGGAGTAGAAAGCTGTCTTTCTCCCATAGAGGGACTGATGAGTTCAAACCGCTGATCTTGTAATGAGCAGCCCAACCATACTCCACCGGGGCTTCCTCGGTTCATATGCAGTCACTGTTCACGTTAGTGAAAGTCCTAGTGCTGTTGGCAGGTCAGCATCAGACTGACCACAAGGTCAGTGGTTGAAACCCACCAGCTGTTCCAGGAGGGGAAGCGTTCTCCCGGAAAGAATTCACAGCCTCAGAAACCCTACAGACGGCAGTGGTTCTCAATCCTCCTCAGGCCGCGGTGACCCTGTCATCCAGTTGATCCTGTGGTGGTGACACCGCACCCCCCCCAACCAGAAAATGATTTTCGTTGCTAGTTCATCACTGTCGTTTTCCTATTGTTATGAATCGGGCGACCCCTGTGAAAGGGGCGTTCGACCCCCAAAGGGGTCGCGAGCCACAGGTTGAGAACCTCTGCTAGAGAGGTCCCGCTGAGTCAGCATCAACTCGATGGCGGTGCTTTTCAGTTTGGGGGTATTAAACTTAGGGGTGTAACGCGAACACGGAGCCAAATGAACAGGAATGCTAAACAGTACAGAGGAGGGGACCCTCTGATGGGAGGAGCCTGAAGAAATGCCCCACCCCACTCCCCGTGCCCCCACCCACCCGCCAAGAGAGCTGGAGTCTAAATGATGGTGGAGGTGCTGGTTAGGGGAACAGCAGTCCCCTAACAGAGCAGCACCCCTGGAGCAAAGACACGGGGAGGAGACCCCACAGCCCCAAGTGGACTGGGGCCAGGCCGCGGGTGTCAACAGAACTCTGCCCCACAGCTGGTGCAGCCCCGGCCCCGGAAGGCAAGCCAGTGCCTCAGGAGCCACCAGCCCCGCTTAGTGACTGACACTGCCCTACTTTCCTCCTCCCCATTCCAACTCAGGACCGAGCCGAGAAAACCAGATGTGGTCCCAAGCCTGTCTCTTGCAGTTAGCTCCCTCCAGGTCCCCCTGGCAGCCTCCTCCGTCCAATCAGCATGCCCGAAGCCTTCCTTCCCTTTTCGGGATAAAGCCTTCCCATTGGAGTCTTAGCCAAATGCCAGCGCTGGTGGTTGGTTCCGTTACTAAAACAAGATCTAAACCAGTGTTTCCCAAAGTGGGCGGTACCGTGCACCTATGGGGGTGCTAGGACCATCTGGGGGGGGGGTGTGTGCTGCAACATCAGATACCTACACCTTATCCTGGGTTACAGGTGATGCTGTGGTTGGGGACCCCTGAGGTGGTTCCGACGCATGGCGACGTCACACTCGAGGGAAGGAACACTGCCCCGTCCAGTGCCAACCGCACAGTGGTCCTCATTCTTGAGCCCACCATGGCAGCCGCTGGGTCCACCCCTCTCATCGAGGGTCCTCCTCTTCTGCGCTGATGCTCCGCCGCCGTACCCAGCACGGCGTCTGCTCCAGGTTTCTCCTGACCGCAAAGACAGCACGTGAGACCAAGTCCCGCCCCGCTTGCCTCTGAGCAGCCTTCGGCCACGCTTCTTTGCAGACAGGTGTCGTTCTGCTGGCCATTTCAGTAGTCTTCGTCAGCAGATGCGTCCACTCTTCCTCCTCCCTTGTTCGCTGTCCAGCTGTCAGCGTTATCAGGCGATTGAAAACAGCACACGGTAACTAGGCGGCCATCGAGCTCAGAAGCAACAAAACCCACATGGAGGAAGCACACCGGCGGCCTGTGGGATCACGAGGTGCCGAAGGGATCAGGGATCAGGCATCATCAGAACAAACAATCCTATCATTGTGAATGAGGGGGAGGGCAGATTGGGGACCCAAAGCCCATCTGTAAGCAACTGGACATCCCCTTATGGAAGGGTCGTGGGGAGGAGACGAGCCAGTCAGGGTGCAGTGTAGCAACAATGAAACATACAACTTTCCTCTAGTTATTAGATGCTTCCTCCCCCTCCCCACCCCCACCCCCGATTATCATGATCCCAATTCTACCTTACAAATCTGGCTAGACCAGAGGATGTACACTGGTACAGATAGGAACTGGAAACACAGGGAATCCAGGACAGATGATCCCTTCAGGTCCAGTGGTGAGAGTGGCGATACCTGGAGGGTGGAGGGAAGGTGGGGTAGAAAGGGGGAACCAATCACAAGGATCTGCATATAACCCCCTCCCTGGGGGATGGGCAACAGAAAAGTGGGTGAAGGGAGACATTGATCAGTGTAAGGCAAGGAAAACTAATGATTTATCAGGGGGGTGGGAGGGAGACCCCAAACTGAGCATGCTTGTACTCAAGCCCCTGAGCCAGGTGGGAAGCACAGCTGGGCAGGTCAATAGAGGCCCAGGCTTATGACATCACCCAGGTGGGCCTAACAGCCAATGGGGTCAACCAATACCATCAACCACGCCTCCCCCCAGCCAGGGGGTGGGCTAGAATAAAGGCAGGGATCAGGCCCTGGGTCACACTCTTACCCTGCTCCTGGTCAGAGGCAGGTAGAGGGGGAGGGACGCACATGCTGACCTTTCTCTACCC